CAATAGCTTTCTCTAGGATCCAGTCTGAGTACGGTGCCCAGCTTCCTCTCTCTTCACTTGCGTGCAGGGATTTCTCCATCTCCTGCTTCCATTCTGGTTGCTTGGTTCCCCGTCTCAGGGTCACCTTTCTTGATTCCTTTCCCCACTCACTTTTCTTTCCAACGCCCATTGACCAGCGAGGCTTGTGGTCCCGTGTCTCCACCACTTCTTCTCCTGAGGAATCTGACCTCTTGGATCCCAACATCTGGCAAGGTTCCAATTTGGTCAGCAGCTCTCTTTCCAGGGAGTTTTCCCCCTTTCTTGCTCCATTGTCTGACATGGTAATTTTTTGCAAAATCCCCCGGCAAGGGTCTCCCTTCCAGGTGGATTAATTTTGCAAGTCCTGTCTAATGTAAGGACCCACCCCACTTTGCATCTTAAGAAGACAGAACTCTTGGAATAATTCTTCCAACAAGAATCCTTTATTAAGAAGAAGTGGTTGCAGGCGTGCTAGACAGGACTTGGGGTCCAAGCTTTCCCATTCAAGGTTTTAAGGGGTTCCCCAGCAGTCCCACCCAATCACCCCCCCTTCCAGTGATAGTTTCAGGCATCACAATTTCACCCCTTTGATCCTCTCTTCCGTCTGGATGGAGACTTCAGATAAACTACATGAAAGGTAAGTAGCCCCTTTGTCATGGTAAGGTTCTTTGGTGCTATTTACATTCAAACTCTTTGAGGTTGCAATAAACACATTCAAATCCTTAGAGGTATACTGAAGGAAGTGAGGGCCATAAAGCCCCTTTGTTCTCCCCCTTCTCTCCCTCTTATGGCAGAATCCAGAGAAGGCAGAATTGGGGTTTTCTATATTTGATGATTAAAGATGAAATATAATTGGATTCTGACATCAGCTATCTGAATAATTCTAAATTGGAAAACCCTAAAGTTAATGTCACAGATTCATGAAAATTCAGAATTAGTCCTTTCCTTTCTACTTTTGATTTTATAGTTTATAAAACACAGGTTAGTGACAGTTTCCCATCCCCAAAAGGGCATCAGTGCTCTGATATCTATAAATTAGCAGGTAAATGATACAAAATCCAAATTCTGAGGTTCAATTTTCCTCTTCTCTTTCATCCTTTTCCTCGCAATTATCCTATAGTTTTACTTGAATTACAGTTTAAAGTAAAGTATATTCACATGAACTCCACCTCATTTATGGTTTTACTAGCATTAAGAATGCTTCTGTTTTCTTATTGCTATGTAACTGGTAAATACCTTTTTTAATTTTCTCAAATTTCTTGTACACATAATAGAATTTGGAGAAGCAAAAATCTTTTTTTTTCCAAAATAGCATTAGCTATTTTAGTACTAAAAAGGAGTTTTTTTTAAAGAAGAAAATTCTTTTTAAAAAGAACTGCAGATGCCAAATAATTTAAAGTGGACTTTTAGAGATCTTAGAAATCCAGTCTATTATTATTTTGTTTTAGTCAGTCATACATCTGGAGAAACAAAAACCAGAAATTTTGGATTGTTCAAGGGCTCGGTTAAATAGGGATTCCAAAGGGATTTTATTGGGTGAGCAGGGCAAGGCTGGTGGGCATCACACCACTTTTATTTTCTCCACTGCATGGTCTTTGTACCAGCACTATTCCAATCTTCCTTTGTCCCTGACTCATTGGCTCTAGAATAACATGCCAAAGTCCTTATCTGTCAGAATCCAATTATATTTCATCTTTAATTATCAAATATAGAAACTCCCAATTCTGCTTTCTCTGGATTCTGCCATAAGAGGGAGAGAAGGGGGAGAACAAAGGGGCTTTATGGCCCTCACTTCCTTCAGTATACTTCTAAGGAGCTGAATGCTGAATGTGTGTTTATTGTAACCTCAAAGCGTTAGCACCAAAGAACCTTACCATAACAAAGAAGGGATTTGCCTTTCATGTAGTTTATCTGAAGTCTCCATCCAGCCGGGCAGTAATGAAAAGGGGGTGGAAGTGTAATGCCTGAGACTGTCGCTGAAAGAGGGGGTTGATTGGGTGGGGCTACTGGGGAAACCCTTAAAACCTTGAATTGGAGAGCTTGGACCCAAGTCCTGTCTAGCATGCCTGCAACCATTTTCTCTTAATAAAGGATTCCTGTTGGAAGAATTATTCCAAGAGTTCTGTCTTCTTAAGATGCAAAGTGGGGTGGTCCTTACATTAGACAGGACTTGCAAAATTAATCCACCTGGAAGGGAGACCCTTGCCGGGGGATTTTGCAAAAAATTACCATGTCAGACAATGGAGCAAGAAAGGGGGAAAACTCCCTGGAAAGAGAGCCGCTGACCAAATTGGAACCTTGCCAGATGTTGGGATCCGAGAGGTCAGATTCCTCAGGAGAAGAAGTGGTGGAGAAACGGGACCACAAGCCTCACTGGTCAATGGGCGTTGGAAAAGTGGGGAAAGGAATCAAGAAAGGTGACCCTGAGACGGGGAACCAAGCAACCAGAATGGAAGCAGGAGATGGAGAAATCCCTGCACGCAAGTGAAGAGGGAGGAAGCTGGGCACCGTACTCAGACTGGATCCTAGAGAAAGCTATTGACCTGATGAAGAGAACTCTCAGCCCCCTGGAGAGAAATAGCCATGGATTTTATAGTGGAATTGCCAGAAAGCAATGGGAATAATGTGGTCTGGACGGTCACGGACTTGTTTTCCAAACAGGTGCATTTTATCCCTTGCCAAAAGATTCCCACTGCAAAAGCCTTAGCAAAACTTTTCATCCAACACATTTACAGATTGCATGGGGCACCCCAACGCATCATCTCTGACAGGGGGGTGCAATTTACATCTGCATTTTGGAAGGAATTTTTATCCCTCTTAGGAACCACTCAGGGACTGACATCTAGCCACCACCCTCAAGGAAATGGGGGGGGCTGAAAAAATGAACTCCGTACTTAAGCAATATTTAAGATGTTTTCTTAGTTTCCAGCAGACCGAGTGGGCGGACTTACTACCTTTTGCAGAAGTTGCCTACAATAATGCAGTCCACTCCAGCACAGGTTACACTCCTTTTCAAATAGCCACCGGTCAAAGTTTAAACCCCATGCCAGAATTAACCCCAAACGAACCAACGATCCCCTCGCTGAAAGAATGGATGGAAAAATTACAAAACACCTGGCCAATAGTCAGAAAAGCACTAGATGAAGCTAGGCAGGCATACAAAACACAAGCCGATAAAAAAAGGGTTGAGCCTACACCATTCATTATAGGAGAGATGGTGTACTTATCTACAAAATACCTAAAGTCCCTACAGCCCTGTAAAAAACTTGGACCAAAATATATAGGCCCTTTTCCAATTAAAAGAATCATAAATCCAGTAACAGTAGAATTAGAATTACCCAAAAATCTCAGGCAAATACACCCAATTTTTCATTGCAGCTTGCTGAAAAGAGAGCATCAGTCACCTCTACGGCCAAAAATCCCTCCCCACCACCTCCACTCATGGTGGAGGATGAACAACACTTCGAAATAAAGGAAATCCTTGATTCTAGGAGATATCATGGAGCAACTCAGTACCTAGTTGCCTGGAAACACCTCCCTCCCTCACAAAACGAATGGGTCCATAAACGTCATGTCAGAGCCCTGAAGCTATTGAAGAATTTTCACACAGAGTATCCTAACAAGCCTGACTAAATTTTATACTTGTTGTGTTTTCTTTCAGGTGGATCTCTCTTATTTTTAAGAGGGGCCGGATGTCAGAATCCAATTATATTTCATCTTTAATTATCAAATATAGAAACTCCCAATTCTGCTTTCTCTGGATTCTGCCATAAGAGGGAGAGAAGGGGGAGAACAAAGGGGCTTTATGGCCCTCACGTCCTTCAGTAGACTTCTAGGGAGCTGAATGCTGAATGTGTGTTTATTGTAACCTCAAAGCGTTAGCACCAAAGAACATCACCATAACAAAGAAGGGTATTTGCCTTTCATGTAGTTATCTGAAGTCTCCATCCAGACGGAAGAAAGAAAAAAGGGGGTGGAATTGTGATACCTGAAACTATCACTGGAAGGGGGGTTGATTGGGTGGGACTACTGGGGAACCCCTTAAAACCTTGAATGGAGGGCTTGGACCCCAAGTCCTGTCTAGCACGCCTGCAACCACTTCTTCTTAATAAAGGATTCCTGTTGGAAGAATTATTCCAAGAGTTCTGTCTTCTTAAGATGCAAAGTGGGGTGGGTCCTTACATTATCTTTGGCTTTTTTCCATTCATATCCATCCCTAGAACTTCTTCTCCCAGAACAACATTATTTTGGTTCATATCCCAGAACAAAATAGGCTTTTTTCGTTCTACTTTCAACTGAAAACATCACAAACATGTTTTAATTTAGATGGATCAATAGAACCAGATGTTCTATTTTGTGTTTCATCAAAAAAAAATGCTTCCTGATAAATAAAAAGATTTGTTAAACCTATATTTTTTATTATTATTGCTGCTAAAGCCTTTGGGGGATTTTATTTATCCATCTTAAAACACAGAATTTCTCTACAGAGATCAAACATCTCTGAAAATGGAAACCATTTTTTTTAAATAAACCATTTGCTTTAGTCAAATGAGAATCTGAACAATTACATAAAAGATTATATAAATCTATGATAGCTCTTCATTTAGTGGTATCTTTGGTTTTTCCTTACAAAAATTGTTGAAGATAATGAAATGTGGTTGATGGTTTTGAAGGAAACTTCAAAGGAAATTAAACAAGCATAAATGTGCTAATGGTTTAATTTATGGGCAGCCTTGGGATAATATTTGTTTCTTCAAGATGAAGCAGGTAAAGAAAAGTTCCATATTAGCTGCTTAATTTCTGCTGAAGTGCAGACCCAAACTCTCTACTTCTTTTTCTAATCATTCTTGCTTTAACATACCCTATCTTCATATTGGTTTAAGACTTTATTTTTCAGTAATGGAAAACTATTAACGGAGATGCTGCTAAATTGATTTTTGTTCAAATTGGAAGAAACCTTAAACATGTTTTTGATCACTCACCTTATCATTGACTATGCTTTTTCCATCCCACGCCCATCCTCTTTTTGTGAAGTAATTTACAGTGGCAAATTCTATCAAGGCAGAAAACACAAATGCATAACAAACCGCAATAAACCAATCCATAGCTGTGGCATAAGCTACTTTGGGCAAGGAATTACGAGCACTGATGCTTAGCGTTGTCATTGTTAGCACTGTTGTTACTCCTGTAGGGTAGGAAAAAAAGAAAGAAAAAGAAAGAACCTGGTCAAGGTAATGCAAAATGCATGGAAAGTTTAGCACCAGAGCAAAAGACAATGAAGGGATATGATTGTCAGAACCCATAACTATCTGATTTCATACTTCCCTTGCTCTTCTCTCACATTTCATACTTCCCTTGCTCTCTTTCTCTCTCCCAAATTCCATTCTCTTCTCTCTCTGGGTTCTGCCATACTCCTAGAGGGGAGGGGGAAAGGATCCCAGGTTTATTGCCTTAGCTTCCTCTATTGCTACAATGTAACACTTTGCTTTCCTGCATTCTTTCTCTATTGCTACAATGTAACACTTCACTTCCCTGCACTATTTCTCTCTGTACTTCTTCTCCCTAAACTGTCAACTAGCAAAGGGGGAGGAAGAAAGAATTAAAACCTCTGGAACCTGGCTTATCTCTCTGTTCTCAAGAGAAGGTGCGAAGAGTTGTCTAAACATCGCTGCCACGACCAGAGCCGGCCCAATGTTATCTCCCCTTTCCCACAATGGACGTAAAACCTGGGGATTAGCCGGTTTGAACCATCTGGATGAACTATGGGGTGGGGCTTGCTTGGGGACACTTTAACCTATCGATCTGTATGGGAGCCCCTCAGATCCTATCTAGTATGCCTGCTATCAGCTTCTCCTAATAAAAGTTCCTTTTGGAAGAGCTTGCTTCCATGAGTTCTGCTTTCTTGGGATGAGTATTGAAGTGGGTCTTGACATTGATAGAGAATTGAACTCAAAAGACAAAAAAGTACAGAAATTACAAATAAGATATTCAATGATATCTATGAAATAATATGTTTGGGGTTTATTATTTTAAGCAATCTGCACCCCAAAAAGTCAATACGACAGCTGCAACTGCTCAATCAAAGCCTCACCTCTTTTTTTGTATAGATTTATTAGTTTTTATAGGGTTAGAAATAAGGTGGGGTCGGGGTTGAGGTTGGGATTTGGATTAGGGTTAGGATCAGGGTTGGGATTTTTCCAAATAACATTCTCAATATTTAGCAAACAGCATAATGTCTGGGTTCGTGTGTTTAACAAACAATAATAGATAATAGTTAATTATCATAAACAATATGTTAATTAATCATTCAATAGCCTTCTTCTTGCTAATATATATTCAATATTACATATCACATTCCTTTCTCTCTAACTCATTTTTCTAGCCATTGATACAAATTATCCCATGTTCTAAAGTACACTGAGTCTTCTTTCTCTTTTATATTTAAAGTCAATCTGTCAATTTCTGCAAACTCTACAGTTTTCTTAATTAGTACTTCTTCAGCTGATAAATTTTCATTTTTCCAATGTTGGACAAATACAATTCTTGCTGCCGTTAGTAAATATAGTATTAAATATCTGCAATCTTTCTCATAATTAGCTCCTATTATTCCTAACAAAATTAATTCTGGTTTAAAGTCTATTAGTTTTTAGTCATTTTCTCCAAACATAAATGTATTTTAACCCAAAATCTTTTTGCTTTAGGGCATGTCCATCAGATATGATAATAAGTACCAGGTCTTTGTTTGCATTTCCAACAGTTGTTTGAAGTATTTTTAAACATTTTTGCTAATCTCACTGATCTCATATGCCATCTGTAAAACATTTTATATAAGTTTTCTTTATATGCCACTGCTTTAGTTAATTTAATATTTCTTTCCCATAACTTTTGCCAATCTTCTAATTCTATATTATATCCAAAGTTCTTTGCCCATGTTATCATTGTTTCTTTTACTTGTTCTTCCTCCATCTTTAAGTTTAACAGAAATCTATAGAGTTTCTTAATCAACTTTTCATCTGTTTTTAGCAGTATCTGATCAAATTCTATCTGTTCTTTAAAAAATCCCATTGTTTTACCATCTTTTTCATATCTCGTTTGAATTTGCAGATATGGCCACCATGCTAGATCACCTCTTGTAAGCTTTGTCTGTCTTTCAATTTTCCTTCATCATCCAAAATATCTTTATAAGTCACAACTTTATCGTAGTTAATTAAATTTGGGTAAGCAAAAGCTTCCATTGTTGAAAGCCATTCAGGTATCTTAATATAAATGTTTTCTTTTATTTTTTACCATTCTGAAAGAAGTGCATTGCTTATAAAATGGTTTTGAAAGTATCTATGTATTTTGTTCTTCCCATACCACAGAAAGGCATGCCAACCAATTTGTAGGTTATACCCTTCTAGATATAATAATCTTTTGACTCTAAGCATTATCCATTCTTTAAGCCATGTTAAAATAGTTGTTTGGTAGTATAACCTCCAGTCCAGCAGTCCAAATCATCCACTTTCTTTCGCTTCTTGTAGCATTTTCATTTTAATTCTAGCTTTTTTTCCTTGCCAGATAAATTTCAATATTATTGTATTCAGTTCATCAAAAAAGGCTTTTCCCAGCCTTACAGGAATCGTAAGGAGTTTCTGGTGACATCACTGCAAGATGGGCACTGGAGAATGAATCTCCCTTCCCCAAGCCCGATTTCTACCAGCTGGGGAGTCCAATAGGACCGAAAGTCACCCCATAGAGATGACTGGCCAAAGTGTGAAACTTTGCAGATCGCGGGTCAGCGGTAGCTGGCCCGCTTGATCCAAAGGAGCCCTCGGGACCAGCAGGAAGAAAGGCTGACCACACCCATGCAGTCTGCCAGAAGCAGCTGATCATTGGAGACAACAAATTTTAAAATGGAAGGCAAAACAACCAATCTGGGTGAGACTACTTTTCTTATCTCTCTACAAGTGAAAATACCGGTTCTGGGAAACAGCATTTAAAAGCATCCCTAAGCTCCAGGGAGGGGGGATTTTTTCCTTACCCCTCCCTCATGAACTATAAGTGTTTGGGGGGTGTTAAGTTTTTGGGAAATTAAAACTGACTTATAACAATATTGTGAAGATGACTGAGGCAAAAAAGAAGGATAACTTGGAAAACTTTTGGTTTTATAAATCTTTTTTTGTTTATTTCTTGTTTGGAAACCATCGGGTTTTTAACTTCTTAAACTTTTTCAAAGTATGGTGGGAATAGACATCTAATGACATCTAATGGCAAAACTGAGAACTACATGCAGTCTTGCTTTTCTTTTTGTCTTTATTTTACTGAGTTGCTCTGATTGGAGTAAAACTTGGCTGTATGCCCAGACATATCTTATAATTTAAACATTTTGGTGTCCTGGAGATTGTGGATGGAAAAGAAAGATTCTTTTTGGATTGCCCTGTCTTACAGGATGGATTACAATTATAAATAAAAACTGTGTTTGAATTCATTGGACTTCCCTGGATTTCAAATATAGTTTGACCTGGAATCTTTACAAGCTGTTTTGAAAGAATGAATAACAAGAAATCCCTCCGAACAGAATACTTTGGATTACAAATTTTAATATTTCCCCCCCCCTATTTTTTCCCCTTTGCTCTTTTTTTTTTTTTTTACCATTTACCATTTTTATTGTTTACCTCTCCTATTTGTTAGGAGCCTATTGGATTATAAATTTTGACTTACTTAGTGGATTACAATGTATGATTTAAAGATAAAGATGAGCGCTCCTAACTTATCTAATGTTGGAAAAAAAAGGATCTCCTTCTCCCTCTTTGGCTTCTGCAAGTCCAGTCTATCAGAGATCAATTGATACAATACTTCAACAAGAAAATGCTAATACCTTCTAAAAGGACACTCAAGCAACCCTACAAGCAATTCAAGAGGCAATTGTTACTCATATGGTGGTCACATTGAGAAACCATGAGGAGTTGAAAAGTGATTTTGATAAAATGAATAAAAAAATTAACAATATGGATTCTCAATTTGAAAATTTTAAACAGATGATTACAGATAATTAACAAAGATTTCAAAAAATAGAAGATAAATCAACTGAGGTTGACCAGAAACTAGAAGTTTTAAAAGATGAAAATCAGAAGTTGATCCAAATAAATGAAGAACTAGAAGACTCAATAGCTGGGATGGAGATGGAAAGAGCCTCATACTTTTTAAGATTTCAAAATATAATGGAAGATAAAGAAGAGGATCTCCTAGGCTTAATAACCGAATTATTGGCAGACACATTAGGAACTGGGGAAACAGCAAATGGAAGGAGAATTAGACCAGATCTATCGAGTCAACTCAAACTATGCTAGAAGAAATAAAGTCCCTAGGGAAGTACATGTTAGGTATCTTAAAAGATCTACAAGAGACAAGATTTTGAGAAGAGTAAGAGACAAACCTTTGAAATACAAAGAAAAAGAAATTGTAGTTCTCAAACAAATTCCTAGGAGAATAAGAGAATCCCGAAGAGAATACCAGTTTCTAACTAGGAAATTAATTGAAAAAGGAGTGAATTCCAGATGGCTGATTCCAGAAGGGATTTTAATTTACTGAGATACGAAAAGATATAGACTGGCGACACCACTTAAAGCAATGGTTCTTCGACAACCATTGAGCATTTTTTGGAAAGAGGTGACCCTGAATCCGATATAAAGAAAGAAACAAAGAAGCAGGAAGAAATGGCAGTAGAAGAAGCATTCAAACCAAGAGAGGAGAAAGAAATTAAAAACACATATACAGAAGAAGGAGCAAGACCAAGAGATCAGACACAGATAAGATTGACTAGAGGATTAAGACCTAGATATAATTGAAAGAGATGGAGGAGAATGGGATTTTGTCAATGAATATAAATGGACTAAATTCTCCTTCAAAAAGGAGAAAAATCTTTACACGATTACAAAAATTAAAAATGGATATAATTTGTCTTCAAGAAACAAACATTAAGAGACAACATTAATGTTCCGGTGGATCAAGCAGCTACGATGGCTGCTTTTCACAAAGCAGCCCATTCCTGGGTTGTGTAAAAGCTGCGGGACTTTGACAATCAGCTGTCCCGCGGCTTGAATCTCTTCCCTGGGAGAAAGGGAAGAGAAGAGCTCCCCTGGATCCCCTGGATCCCCATAATTTCGGGGATCGGAGGGTAGAGCTCCCTCGGAGCCTGAGCCAACT